CATCATCCATCATGATCCAGAAGTCCAAGTAAGTCTTTATAGGTGGTGATGTTACAATTAGTTGCTAATCTTGTGTGGGTGCAGACTGCTAACTGCTGAAGGACCTTGTAGCCACAAGAAGTTCATACAGAATAGCAGCAGCACTGGATAGTACTAACAAGATCAGTGATTACTATACATGGAGAAATTAAAAAGGTGGAAAAAAAATGACCTTGTTAATAACTTTCTAACTTTCTCCTGTGTGATGTTGTTTTAGTTTTGGCTTTTTTTGTTTGGTTTGGTTTTGTTTTTTTCAGACCCAATTTTCCCTTGCCCATTTCTATGAATTTGGGGATAACCAGCAAGAGTTATTGAGGGTTTCTGCATAAACACATGAATGCATGAAAAGGTAACACTTTAAAGCATCAGTAGTTTAAAAGTATGCATATGATTTTGATGTGGTTTTTGAAGCCGTGTTTGAGATGGAGCCCCCTGTGACTGGATAGGAGCTACCATGGTCCATGCTGATTTCCAGCTTCCACCTAGAGAAGTGCAACTGTAACTGTACTAGCTGTGGCCTTAGCACACAGTTGCAAGTAGAGCTGGAGGCAGATGCACACCCAAGAAGAAATCCTGCTGTGCCCTGGGGCAATCAGACCCATGGAAAACAGTCATTCCAGGTGCCAAGTGCATCAGGTTAGTCCAGGTAAATGAGAATGGAAACTAGGACTGAGCTGATCAAGCCTCAGAGTCTGGCAGTAATTTAGGGGCACATTGGGGTGTGAAGTCTGTGATTCTCCTTTATATTGTGGATCTAACAACCAGTCGTACTGATGGGCCTGTCTTCAGTATCTTGGAAGGTGGCCTGTGCAGAGACTGACAGCTTGGAGTCTCCCGCTGAGTAGGGTGCACCGAGCCTTAATTTTGCTTGTGTTGTAATTAACAAACTTGTCATGCGATTTTCAAAAATATTTTTTTTCTCCATAGTATTAGACAAATTCTAATAGTATTTAGTGGTGTTGTTTGTCACTCCAGGCAAAAATCCATCTCTATTTTTAGTTGGACCTGTACATTTCATGTGATAATGCTCTGAGGACACTTCTATTACCCTAGGAAGATGATACAAAAAAAGGTGATTCATTTGTTTAACGAATGTCTCACCAAAATTAAGTAGCACATTTATTACAAGCTTTTGGTTTAGGAGGTGAAGCAAATCTGTATCTCCAATTGTCAATGTTTCTATCATGATACTTTTAGCTCGTTTAAAAAAAAGTATCACAAAGGCTTAAATTTTGAAACTCACACCATTTCCACAGCCTATTTAAAGGGATGGTTGTCTTTTGGGAAGGATGGGAGTATTAGAAGGAATGTCAGGATGAGAGGTTGAAAGTTGATGCAGAAGGGAATAGGAGTGCTAAATTCTGCTGACACTCCTAGTGGGCAAAAGAGTAGTCATTCTCTCACTCATTCCTGCCATCACTCAACCTGTTCCTTCTCTCAAACATGTCCTGACTGCCTTCCCACGTCAAGGGAGACAGCTCCGGGCTCTTACAACTCATGCTGCCTGATCAGGAAAACTTTTTGCTCTTCTTATACTGTTTTCATTAATTGGGAGAGCTCATTGTAAAAATAAAAATTAAAAAAAAAAATATTAATTTGTAGTAAATCACTTCTTGCTTCTGAGTAACAAAACAATCCATGTTGATGAACCACCAGGAGTGAAGGATGAACACTGGCCATAAAATATGAGACTGGCAATAAAAGAAAAGATGTCATATTGGGAAATGAAGTGTTATTCTAGAATTGAGTGAATTTGAATTGCTTAGAACTCCTCCTTTCTTTTCCATAAGCCTGAAAGGTTCGAGTTCCTGTAAACGGGTTTTTTGCTCCTCCTTTTGGTTTAATTTTGTCTATTTTCAGGAACATCCTAATATTTCAATAACATACACACTGTTACTTTATACCTACAGCTGCCAGTGAAAAGCTTAGACAGATACTACACACGCACACTATGCTAAAATAAAACCAAGAAAATTAAACTGCCTGGTTTGGAAAAGATAAATTTGGGTAAGCATTACTTGACTTGAGCAATCCTGAAATATAGAATATTTCCTCAAATAACACAAGCACACTGTAATGCACCAATCTAGTCTATGTACCTGTACATTGTTGTCATATCTACAAGTATTCTGGGTAATACTGGTCATAATAAAAATTCATTCATTAAATAATCTGTGGGTGATTTTTCCTTTTAAACTATTACTTACGTTAAGAACAAATTACATTAATATCTATTTTGGTTTTTTATCTGAATTGCCACTCTTGAAATGTAATGGACCCTGGAGAAGGATAAAAAGTTGATTATTTAAAGAAGTGTAATACAGACACGATCAAGAAAATATGATGCAGAAGTAAGCAAAGGTTAAATTTAATAGAAAAAATATTAACTGCCACACAAAGAGATATAGGGAAATAAAAAGCATCAAGAAATGGATAGTAAAAAAGATTGCAACTTTTTGGCAAACTGCCCGTCAACAGTGGCTGTGGGAGGTGAATAGTTTGCCTTGCAAGCTTCCCATTCTCACTAAACTGTATAAGGAAAATTATTTTTTTCAACTGGATAATCTACAAGAATATTAACACCTATTTGAAGTAATTCAGTGAAATGAAAGCAAAGCTATAGAAAATAAGTGCAAAAAGTAACTTGATTAAAAAGAAATATGCTAGATGAGAAGGAAATAAAATAATTCTTAGGGAAGTCCTGAAGAGACCAAAAGAGGTCATTTGAATCTAGATAAACAGAGGGAAAACAACACACCTCTGGTGAGGTACAAATGTATGACATCGAATAGTGAGAGAAGTAATAGGCAGTAATAGGGATAGGATATGCTCTATAGTTATGCAGAAGCTTTACTGAGTTCTTTATTGTGGCCTGTCCATGCTGTAGCCCTCAAATGGGGTGGCTGGAGGGGGGGAAGAACTGCATATAAATCCCTTTTTTTTTTCTTCTCTCAAAGAGTAAGCATGATAGTAAAGACGATGATTCTAAATGTGCTGGTTTTGGAGGGGATGGACTTAAATTTCTTCACAGTGGATAGTCTGTGGAGCTGTGTTCTGGATTTGTGCTGAACACAGGGTTGATAACATAGAGATGTTTTTGTTATTGCTGGGCAGGGCTTACACAGAGCCAAGGCCTTTTCTGCTTTTCGTACTGCCAGGCTGGGGAGGAAGGTGGGGGTGCATGGGAGGATGGGAGGAGACACAGCCAGGACAGGTGACCCCAACTGACCAAAGGGATACTCCAGACCATATGACATCATGCTCAGTATATAAAGTGTGGGGAAGAAAGAGGAAAGGAGGGATGTTTGGATTGATGGTGTTCATCTTCCCAAGTCACTGTTATGTGTGATGGGGCCCTGCTTTCCTGGAGATGGCTGAACACCTGCGTGACAATGGGGAGGAGTGAATAAATTCCTTGGTTTGCTTTGCTTGTGTGCACAGGCTTTTGCTTTACCCATTAAACTGTCTTCATGTCAAACCATGAGTTTTCTAGCTTTTACCCTTTTGATTGTCTTCCTGATCCCATAGATGAGTGAGTGAGCAAACAACTGTGTGGTGCTTGGTTGCTGGCAAGGGTTAAGATAAATGGGAGGGAGGGGGGCTTCATTTGTCCTAATAACATCATTAAGGTTGATATCAGAAGATAAATATGTCCTTGCTGTAGCTGTAGAACTAAATCTGTGATATTAATAGATATAAACTGATATAAACACTGCAGAGGTGGCTATCTACACATGAAAATACTTATCAAAATGGTGGCCAAGCATAACCTGAATTAAATAACATAAATACCAAAAGGCCTACAAAGTCTCTGTCCTGTAAAATCCATTCCTCTTACACCTCCTGAGAAAGAGAACTTTCAAGGACAAATGATAAAAAATGATACACAAGAACATCAGCAAAAAAAGGGATTGCTAAAATGGAAAAGTATGTGAAATTACCAAGTTAAACCTAAACCTTTTCACATTTAAGAAACATTATACAGTAACAGGCATCCATTAGAAACAGGGAAAAGATGGGAAAGATCAAAGCAAATGAGAAATACCTGACCAATGAAAAAAAAATTCCACGTATTGCACACAGGGATAACATACCAGGGAAAAACTCCTGCTGAGAAAGACATGGTTAGTAGGAACTGTATAGAATAGCATTTATTTGATGATCCTTCAAGAACAAGGTAAAAATATCTCAAACATACATTCATAGTAAATTTAAATAGGAATTGAGACAGAAAAAGTAAAACTGTGTGTGTGCGCATGTAAAGTTTGGAAGATTTCAGGACTCACTGCACCTGAATGGACTCGTAGAGCCAATAGGCACCCCAGCACAAATCAACCTCTCCAGAACACATGATGTTCAAAAAGTAGCATTATGTAAAGAAACAGCAAAAGTTTTTTTGTTATGTTTCAACAAAGTAAGACCATGAGAATAACCAAACGTATGCCGTATCTTTAAAAACACATGGAGCAATGTAGTTTTTCATGAATCCACCAGAAAGAGATGCAAATTCACTCCTTCATCAGACGTCACTCTCAATAGACAAAACAATGCCGCGTGATCATTAAGTCGGAGACGCGGGGCACGCACGGGACTTTCCTTCCTGCAAAAATAAGTGAATGTGCCGCCCTCACGGGGGAAGAAAAAAAAAAAAAAAACACAACAAAAAAACCCAAAAAAACAAAGGGTGTATTTCCAGCAGTACCGAGCCCACCGCGCCCGCCCCTCTCGGCTGCCTGGCCGGGCCTGTGCTGGGGCTCAGCGCGACGGCGCCGCCGAGCGCGGGCGGGACGCGGCGGGGGCGGGGCTGAGCCGGCAGCGCGAGGCCCCTCGGCCCTCTTTGGGAGCGGTGGCGTAAACGCCCCGCCCCGGCCCTTCCCCGCCGCAGTCCCCAACCAGGTCGGACCGACGGCAATATAGAGTGCGCTGGGTCCGCTATTCATTGCATAGTTCTTGGGAGTGATTGTTAGGCACCATGTCTGGCAGAGGCAAGGGCGGGAAGGGGCTCGGCAAGGGCGGCGCCAAGCGCCACCGCAAGGTGCTGCGCGATAACATCCAGGGCATCACCAAGCCCGCCATCCGCCGCCTGGCTCGGCGCGGCGGCGTCAAGCGCATCTCGGGGCTCATCTACGAGGAGACGCGCGGCGTGCTGAAGGTGTTCCTGGAGAACGTGATCCGCGACGCCGTCACCTACACGGAGCACGCCAAGAGGAAGACGGTCACTGCCATGGACGTGGTCTACGCCCTTAAACGCCAGGGACGCACCCTCTACGGCTTCGGTGGCTGAACTCGACTCCCGGGTTACCTTAGGCTTTTAGAACACAAAGGCTCTTTTCAGAGCCACCCACAAATTTCAAGAAAAAGAGCTTTAAATCGCTTGGTTGTATATGTGTTGTTTATGTGTTAAGTTGAAGGTTCGTAAGGCACCGGGCTTTGTCTCAACGTACGTCCCCCAGATCCGCCCCAGCCCTCTGAGCCTAAAGGGCGTTCTCAGAGGTTGGAATGTCTGTCTCAGGTGAACGAGTCTGGTCTTTACAGGGACGTCCAAGGCTAAAGAAAAGTGGGTAATGAGAGGTTTCGTCCTTTAGCCCTCACCCTGTTTCCGCATTCTTTCCACACACTATCCCTAGCACAGGTCCCCTTCACAGATGTAAAAAAGCGAGATCGCGAGTGACGAACCGCTGGTTTACCGTTCTCCCGGCACCACCGCCATAGTCTGAGGCGGGAAGGAAGCTTATGAAATGGCGGCGCTGTCCTCTCTGCCGGTCAGGGATGCGGGACAGAGCGAGACAGCGGGAGCAGAGAAAAGCCAAAAAAGCACTCAATAGCGTCCTAGGGACTGCGGAGCAAAGAGGCTGCGAGCCCTGTACTGAACAACCTTCTCGTACCCTCCCCTCTTAATCTTCCTCCTGGTAAGGATGCCTGTTTCTGCTCCAGGCACCGCTCGCGGCTGCACACACCACCCCACCCCTCTCCCCTCCTCCCGCGCCGGCAACTTGAAGCAGTGTACCTCACAACCACTGACACACACCAGGCGGCGGGGGAGGGCGGGACTGGGCGCTACCGGAGCACCACATACCTCCCTACATTCCCCCCCCGTTATCCCAGAATCACCACGTACAAATGCTTGGTACAGGCTGCCCGTGCCTGCTCTGTAACAGAGACACAGCTCTCTCCACTGATCATGTGGTGGCTCTTAAAAGAGCCTTTCGGTCTGGTAGTGGTGGGAAGGTAGAAGATTCAGGCGCGCTCTCCGCGGATGCGGCGGGCGAGCTGGATGTCCTTGGGCATGATGGTGACGCGCTTGGCGTGGATGGCGCACAGGTTGGTGTCCTCGAAGAGCCCCACCAGGTAGGCCTCGCTGGCCTCCTGCAGCGCCATGACGGCCGAGCTCTGGAAGCGCAGGTCGGTCTTGAAGTCCTGCGCGATCTCGCGCACCAGGCGCTGGAAGGGCAGCTTGCGGATCAGCAGCTCCGTCGACTTCTGGTAGCGCCGGATCTCGCGCAGCGCCACCGTGCCGGGCCGGTAGCGGTGCGGCTTCTTCACGCCGCCCGTGGCCGGCGCGCTCTTGCGGGCCGCCTTGGTGGCCAGCTGCTTGCGGGGCGCCTTCCCGCCCGTCGACTTACGCGCCGTCTGCTTCGTGCGCGCCATCCTACTTTAATGCTCCTTCCACTGTGAGCAAAAACTGCAGCTCTTGGGAGCCCCCTTTATAATGCGTGGCGGCCCCGCCTTCCCTCTGTGATTGGTCACAATAGAGGAGAAGGCAACTGGGTAACAGCGGTAGCTGAAGGCGCCCTAGACCCCAACCCTGTCCCTATTGACTTAACTGTCTTTGGTTTCCAAAAAGGAACCTCAGCATCTTTTAATGTGTAATTTGTATTGTGATTTCCTTTAATGCTTTTCCCCGCCCAATTTGTTTCAGAATCTGAATAGCACTTGCCGGCTATGCCTTTTAAGTAAACAATGCAATTACTTGCATTGCCTTAACTGCTAAAAGAACAAAAACTCGAAGTCGTAGGGGAATTTGTTTTGGATTGCACAAAAAGCACTCACTTCCTCTGGAAATATTTCCATTAAAAATATAGAATGACCTGGTTTATAGACACGAAAATTTCAGTTAATATCCCCTCCTCGAAATTTGATAACTCTAGAAAAATATTTTATTTTCAATCAGCTCTGCTATCAGTCTCCTCTTGCGAATTGCGTGACAAGAACTATCTCGATGAAAGGCACAATTATTTAAGCCAAGTCGTTAAAGAGCAGAAATGTGGCCTCCAAAGAAAAAAGGGGCCAAAAGAGCCTGCTATGAGGTAAATATTAAGGAGCGGGGCTCAGCCGAGCTCGGAGTAACGCGGGGTTTTCAAACTGGCCCAATGAGCTCGGCCGTTCCCATCAGCCAATCAGCGGGCAGGGCTCGGCTATAAATACTACGTGATACCGCTCGCTTGTACCAGTGTTTGGTGCATCGCTGTTCGCTCTTCTGCGGGCAGGAGCTCTGTAAAAATGGCGCGCACGAAGCAGACGGCGCGTAAGTCGACGGGCGGGAAGGCGCCCCGCAAGCAGCTGGCCACCAAGGCGGCCCGCAAGAGCGCGCCGGCCACGGGCGGCGTGAAGAAGCCGCACCGCTACCGGCCCGGCACGGTGGCGCTGCGCGAGATCCGGCGCTACCAGAAGTCGACGGAGCTGCTGATCCGCAAGCTGCCCTTCCAGCGCCTGGTGCGCGAGATCGCGCAGGACTTCAAGACCGACCTGCGCTTCCAGAGCTCGGCCGTCATGGCGCTGCAGGAGGCCAGCGAGGCCTACCTGGTGGGGCTCTTCGAGGACACCAACCTGTGCGCCATCCACGCCAAGCGCGTCACCATCATGCCCAAGGACATCCAGCTCGCTCGCCGCATCCGCGGAGAGCGCGCCTGAATCTTCTACCTTCCCACCACTACCAGACCGAAAGGCTCTTTTAAGAGCCACCACATGATCAGTGGAGAGAGCTGTGTCTCTGTTACAGAGCAGGCACGGGCAGCCTGTACCAAGTACTTGTACGTGGTGATTCTGGGATAACGGGGGGGGAATGTAGGGAGGTATGTGGTGCTCCGGTAGCGCCCAGTCCCGCCCTCCCCCGCCGCCTGGTGTGTGTCAGTGGTTGTGAGGTACACTGCTTCAAGTTGCCGGCGCGGGAGGAGGGGAGAGGGGTGGGGTGGTGTGTGCAGCCGCGAGCGGTGCCTGGAGCAGAAACAGGCATCCTTACCAGGAGGAAGAGGGGGAGGGTACGGGAAGGTTATTCATCACAGGGCTCGCAGCCTTTTTGCTCTGCAGTCCCCAGGACGCTATCGAGTGCTTTTGGCTTTTCTCTGCCCCCATTGTCTCGCTCTGTCCCGTCCCCCGACTAGCAGAGAGCGCCGCCATTTCATGAGCTTCCTTCCCGCCTCAGCTTCGGGAGAGCAATTACCGGAAAGCAGCGGTTTCCTCCGATCTCCTGCTTTTTTATATCTGTTGAAGGGGAACCTGGGTTGCTAGGGGATAGTGTGTGTGGAAGAGAATGCGGGAAACAGGGTGAGGGCTAAAGGGCGAAACCTCTTATTACCCACAATTTTTCCTTTAGCCCCTGGACGTCCCTGTAAAAGACCAGACTCGTTCACCCTGAGAACAGACATTCCAGCCGTCTGAGAACTTACCCCTTTAGGCTCAGAGGGGCTGGGGCAAGGATCTGGGGGGGATGTACGTTGGAGACAAAAAAAGCCCCGGTGCCTTCCGTACCTTTGAACTTAACCAAAAACATATAACAACTACGTACACAAACAGTGATTTGAAGCTCTTTCTTGAAATTTGTGGGTGGCTCTGAAAAGAGCCTTTGTGTTCTAAGAGCCTAAGATAACCCGGGAGTCGAGTTCAGCCACCGAAGCCGTAGAGGGTGCGTCCCTGGCGTTTAAGGGCGTAGACCACGTCCATGGCAGTGACCGTCTTCCTCTTGGCGTGCTCGGTGTAGGTGACGGCGTCGCGGATCACGTTCTCCAGGAACACCTTCAGCACGCCGCGCGTCTCCTCATAGATGAGCCCCGAGATGCGCTTGACGCCGCCGCGCCGAGCCAGGCGGCGGATGGCGGGCTTGGTGATGCCCTGGATGTTGTCGCGCAGCACCTTGCGGTGGCGCTTGGCGCCGCCCTTGCCGAGCCCCTTCCCGCCCTTGCCTCTGCCAGACATGGTGCCTAACAATCACTCCCAAGAACTATGCAATGAATAGCGAACCCAGCGCACTCTATATTGCCGTCGGTCCGACCTGGTTGGGGACTGCGGCGGGAGGCGGGGTCTCGGCCGCAGTCCCCGCCCCCTGCCGGCCTTCCCGCGCCTCGGCGGCCCAGGCTCTTTCCCGGCCTGGGCTCGCAGGCGCGCGCGGCGGTTCCGCCTCTCCCGGGCTGGGCCGATCCCGCCCCGCCCTTCCCGCAGCGGGGCCGCGCTGCCCCTGCCCGCTGTCAGCCCGCTCGTCCCTTTGCTGCTTTCCTGTCCCGTCCCGGCCTCGCCCCTGCGCGGGTGACACTTCCGCGGCCGCGCTGGGTCTCCGCCGGTACCAGGAGCGGGGGCTGCGGCGCTCCCTTCCCCGTCCCTCCCCGCGGGTCTGCGGCAAAATCCGACCAATGCAGGGCCACGCTGGGCGCTCCCGCCCTGGCGCTGCTCTCCGCCTCCATTCGGGTGTAGCTGGCGGAGGCGCCTTTCCCGGGCAGCGCTGGCTTTGTTTTCTTCGGCCATGTCGGCTTCGCGTTTTCTTTGTCTCTCCGGACACTCCCACAGCTGCCCCCTCCTCCGTGCAGTCCTGGGGGCTGGGCACCGAGCGTTTCGCGCTTTTGTGTCTGCACAGAGCGACCTGCAGGTCGGTGCGAAGGGAAGCAGGGAGCGAGGTCCTAAGCGGCAGGGAAAATCGTCAGTGAGGGATTTAGGTGGGGAACGTGTAGATCTGAAAATCTTTGAAGGCAACACGGAGGGGCTGTTAGTGAGTGCGGAAGGGAGCGTCTGCCCATCCTTTCTGCGCTCTCCAGCCCCGCAGTACGGTCTCGGGGGCAGCGCTGGCCGCAGGGCTCTAAGCGCTCTCCCGGCACTTGCCAGGCTCTGAAAGAAGTATTCGCTGGCGTACATGGCGATCCAAAAAGCGAGAGACAATGTTACGGATATTACCAACAGATGTCTGTTTGACATTCGAAAAATGAACAGTAACGAAAGATTTTTTGTTCAAATGAAGAATCCCGAAATTTTGCCTTTCGTTTCACACTGCTGGGAACAAACATCTCTACATGCTGCTTACAGTATATCGGACTGTATTTGTGAAGTGAATGAATAAATACTGACAGAGTTATAAGACTGCATTTCTAAATTAAATCTGTTAAGATTGTAAATACTGCTTACACTCAGAATAGAAGTGATATGGCTATGGTGCTTGCCAGTTCTTATGCTATTAGTATTTTGCACCCTTCAAATATGTCTACTGTTTAAAATTTTTTATATCCTTAAAAATTTTTGCAGTTGTTTATTTAAAGTTATTCAGGAGTATAATTTACAGAACCTTGGCAACATCTCCAGAATATTTCTTGGCAGAAAGCGTTCCTCAAACTCAGGGAGAAATGTGATTGAGATTGTGCGTTTGGTTACAGGTGTCAAAACAGAATAAGTCTTGTTATGATTTTAATCATTACTGTGAATTCCTTTTCCATCCAAATTGATATTTTAAACAATTTAAAGAATTGCTACTCATGCTACAGTATGAGCAGGCAAACATAGCTTTAATTTAGATTAGGTTTGTTTTCTAACTGAACAGAGTGAACGAAGACTAATTGGAAGATTTCTCACTGGTGGACCTGCCAGGCTGGTGCCTAACATTACTATTTGGCTCCTCAAAGTCTGCTTTGTTCTTTATACCTGAAGATCTGTGTCTAGCTATGTTTCCTGAGGCAGTTATAAACAACATTCTGAATACTAAAGAAAGCCTAAAGGAAATTACACAGAATCTTTTAGTATGTCAAATAATAATTTCTTCGTAAGTCTTTCTAAATGCAGAGTGAGGATCATAGTATAACTTTTCCTTCTAGCAGTATAACATCCGAAAGACTTAAAAAATTGTCTTCCATTTCTGGCAGAAATTGGTGATGCAGAGGCTGAGACTAGTACCTTACAGTAATTAAAATAGTTGCAACCCCCTTTCCTCAGTGTCTGGAGCACATTAGATGTAATTTAATGTCATGCTTTCTAGAAGGCTGCCTTGTCTGTAAGTTGGTACAAGTGCATGCAGATGTTTCCCGGGTATTTCTGTTAGTGATATTAGTCAGTTCTCTCATGGATCGGAGGATTTTCTTAGGCAAAAATAATTAAAGTGGAAAGAAATTTTCCTGCTGAATATAATCCCTAATGAAGTTGTTACTACTGCTGATTGGAGACAATAAGTTTTATTTGGATTAAATTTTAGGATCCAATCCTTGGATTGTAGGTACTACATTTTCCCCATCAGTTTGGACGAACAGCACTGGGGGTTAAATGAGGATGGAAGCCTTTGCAAAACTCAGCTCCATTAAAGAAATAAAATAAAAATCTGCAGCTTTTCAAGTGTGCATTAATTAGGACTGTTGCCCTAGTTCCTCATTAAACTGTAATGAGTAAATTGCATTTGTTCATTGCAGTAAAGCAACATCTCACCATGACTGCACAAGAGAGTACAGAATTAATAAAAGTCATTGCATCAGTGTGTTATAACCAACTGCAAAGATGCTCCTAATTTTCTTGAGAGCTTATGAGGCAATTTAAATTCCTATCTGTATCTGCTACCCTTGTCATAATAATTATAACAATATGCAAACTAAAGTGATGTAAGATCTTTTCAACAGACTACATTTTTCCTAATATTATAAGCACATTATAATACACACGGAAAAGGGTAGAAAAGCCCTTCATATTTTTAACTATGCAATTCTAAGTCTTTTGATATAAAGATTGATATTACTGAGTTATCCCTAAGCATAATTATGATCTATAACATTTGAGGGAGCTTGGTTGGAGTTGTTTGTTGGTTTTTTTTCATCACAAGTTCTTTAGAATGTGAAGGTGCCTTATAACCCAGTGACACAGCTAAGCCACTATATGGTACGGATTTCCTCTTTCCTACTGTTTGTTGTATATGCGAATCACAGAAACTCATTTACTTAAACTTCCTTTGCTGCGTTCCTTCATCCAGTGCAATTTGCTTGAAAGCTGTGAGTCTTTAATACCAGTAGATTTTCCAGAACTCTTATTGTGTAATCCATCTGACTTACGGGACTTTTACTCTGAGGCCTCATCAGTGTGATGACAGCACAGGGTCTACAACTGACGAAACCACTGGTGCTTAAGAACAAAATTAGGGAGTGCTAAGGTGTGAATGTAAGTATCACAGAGGATGAAACTACAATTACTGGGGTAAGCAGACTAGTGAGTGAATTAAGAGGTGCTTGGAATGAAATTCTGGAGCAAATAATGAATTTCTGGTCAGATGACATGAAGAATTTGGAGAGATGTGCTGGACTTAGATCCACATTCAGAGGACAGGGCCCTCCCCTGTGACACCAGCTGATTTCCACATAAAGGAGTTTGTTCACAGAAAAATCTAGCTCCTGCATACAGACACCCCCCACACCATGGCCTTTCTCTGAAATTCCAGTTCTTTGACGTAGAGGTACACGCTTGTGGCCCAGAAAGCCAATCATAATCTGAGCTGCATCAAAATCAGCATGGCCAGCAGGTCAAGGCAAGTGATTCCCCCCTTCTACTCTGCACTCATGAGACTCCGTCTGGAGTTCTGCACCCAGCTTTGGGGTCTTCCGGCGCAAGCAAGATGTGAATCTATTAGAGCAGGTCTAGAAAAAGGTCATAAAACCAAGCAGAGGGCTGGAAGCCTTTTCCCACGAGAAAGGCTGAGAGAGTTGGGGTTTTTCAGCCGGGGGAAGAGCAGATTCGGGGAGACCTTGTGACAGCCTTTCAATACAGAAAGAGACTTTTTTTCAGGCCTGTAGGGACAAGAGAAAGGGTAATGGCTTTAAATTAAAAGAGGGTACATTTATATTGGACATAAGTAAGAATTTGTTTTCCATCGAGGGTTGTGGGACAATGGATTGGGTTGTCCAGAGAAAATGTAGGATGCCCCATTCCTAGAGGATGTTCAAAGTCAGGCTGGATGGGGCTTCGAGAAACCTGGGCTAGTGGAAGATGTTCCTATCCACAGTAGGGATGTTGGACTAGATAATCCTTAATGGCCCCTTCCCACCCCAACCGCTCTATTACTGCTATCTTCTGACACATATACATTTGGAATCTTTTCTGGAAACTAAAGATAGAAGATCTGTGCATGTTAGAATGGTTTTTGATTACCAGTGCAGTTACTCAAGAGGAGAATTGTAAGGGCCAGGACATATGTAGGTGCAGCAAATGAGGACCAATAAACCAACATAATGAAAACATTACAATCCTAAATGTGTCCACTTAAAAACACAACCCTTAGGAACAGATACCACCCCTATATCAGATTAGGCCGGTGCTCCAGCAGCTCTGTTTTTCTCCACAAATTATCTGTGGTGTCTCACTTTAGCCGTGGCACAATCCTGCCTAACAAGCCTGTCTGCTACAGCTTGGGGGTGGCAAGGAGAGGCAGAGTGAGAGTGTTGCCCTCCTCCAAGCCCAGAGCATTCCTCCTCCCCAGGGGATGGAGAGCAGAGGTGCTGCACAGGTGGGACCTATGGCCTCAGTAGTGTAGTGTAGACCATCAGATGCAGCTTCTAGGAATATCCTAACAAGAGGAATCAGCTAGATGTCTTTTTCATGATTTATGACAGTGAATATAAAGAGATTTAAGGTGGTGCTTTTGAGTGATACTTGTGCCAGCAACACAGAAAATTTAAGAGTAATATTGCCACTGCAAACTGATGTAACAAGAGGAATAGCAACACAGTGGGGGAATTTTAAGGGTAGAAAGTTTGAAAATTCCCTTAAAATGTGAACACACCAGCACTGCAAGGTGCTCCTTCTGAATGCTTTACAGTGCAAGTTTGAGTAGTTAAAAGATCTGGATCAAAAAGCGTAATTTTCCCTAAGGCATTAGGGAACATACTCATGTTATGTCTAGATTAAGTTAAATCATAAGGAAGCTTTACATCTTTTGAAAAACAGAGGCCCAGAAAGGAAATGAAGAAATAATTTCATTCTCAGTTATGAGTTTGGGATGATCTTGCATCTGTTTTCATGCTGCACAGCTTTTTCCACACCCTCCCCATTGTTAACCACCCTCTCATATTTTTAAAACCTAAGTAGCCTAAGAAATCACGAAAGTTGAGCAGAATCAATATTAAGACATAAGTGCTTTACTGTTACAAGGAAAAAAAACAAATTAATGATTTTAAAGGGAGAATTAGCAAGCGTATGACCTCCATTCGATAGGAATAAGGTTTATATTACTGTAACAAGAATACGTTTTAGTTACTAAAGTTGCAATTAAAGATAGCATGAGAGACCTTTGTAAAGAAAGCAACACAACTCTTTTCTGATTCTGTGGGTGGCTCTGAAAAGAGCCTTTGGTTTAAAATGTGCTAAGCCTTAATAGCTTTGCTCGTCGAACTTATTTGCTTTTAGCTTTATGGCTCTCAGTCTTCTTGGGCAGCAGCACGGCCTGGATGTTGGGCAGCACGCCACCCTGCGCGATCGTCACCTTGCCCAGCAGCTTGTTGAGCTCCTCGTCGTTGCGGATGGCGAGCTGCAGGTGGCGGGGGATGATGCGCGTCTTCTTGTTGTCGCGGGCCGCGTTGCCCGCCAGCTCCAGGATCTCGGCCGTCAGGTACTCCAGCACGGCCGCCATGTAGACAGGAGCTCCAGCCCCCACCCGCTCCGCGTAGTTACCTTTCCGGAGCAATCGGTGCACGCGACCGACAGGAAACTGCAGCCCGGCCCGCGACGAACGCGACTTGGCCTTGGCTCGGACCTTGCCTCCCTGCTTCCCGCGGCCGGACATATTTAGGGCGCCTTGTGCACAGCACAAATTCACCCACTACAGCTGAACCGAGACTGTCCTGCCGGTACCCAGGCGCTTCCCCTTTTATCCCTTCTCTGGGCGGGATTGGCCGCTGGTGATTGGCTGGAACCGCTCACTGCTTAAAGAACCAATGACAATGCGGATCGTATGTTGACCAATCGGATGCAAGGACCAACCCTGTACTGTAAGATCCAATAGCGTTGCGCGGCTGAAGGGCCGCAATTTGCATAACCGCTCTATAAATAGCGCGGGCTGCGGCCATTTTGCTGCTGAGTCTTCTCTGAGAGAGACGAAAAGCGCTGTCAAAATGCCCGAGCCGGCCAAGTCCGCACCCGCGCCTAAGAAAGGCTCCAAGAAGGCGGTGACCAAGACGCAGAAGAAGGGCGACAAGAAGCGTAAGAAGAGCCGCAAGGAGAGCTACTCCATCTACGTGTACAAGGTGCTGAAGCAGGTGCACCCCGACACGGGCATCTCGTCCAAGGCCATGGGCATCATGAACTCCTTCGTCAACGACATCTTCGAGCGCATCGCCGGCGAGGCGTCGCGCCTGGCGCACTACAACAAGCGCTCCACCATCACGTCGCGGGAGATCCAGACGGCCGTGCGGCTGCTGCTGCCCGGCGAGCTGGCCAAGCACGCCGTGTCCGAGGGCACCAAGGCTGTCACCAAGTACACCAGCTCCAAGTAAATACCTGCTACAAATACTGTTTAACCCAAAGGCTCTTTTAAGAGCCACCCACATATTCTCTAAAAGGGCTTTACACTGTAGTGACTTGGTCTTTGGTTCGAAAATTTTGTTAGGAAGCGCTAAAACCAATCTGAAACATGTTCAATCAGTCATTGTAGCTTGCAGTGATAATTAATCCATCTCTGAAAGCCTTGAGTTACAACTTGAAATAAATTCAATTGTTTTTATTAATAAATAACGTTCAAATATTTTCCCAATAAACTATTAACCTCTTTATTCAGTAAAAATGTGACTGTACATTATACTTCATGTTCCATCAAAATTAGGTATTTTACATAGTTTCCAATCACATGGCTAAATTAAATGAAAATAAATAAGGAAAATAGACGACTCTGATCAATTTTTACACTTATGTCCCGGAATAGTCTAAACTTAAACATTTGCCCTTCTCTATGAGAAGACAGGATCATAAGGCAAGGACAAAATGTGAGAAGCGACAACAACTGAGAGGGGGTAGGCGCTATAGGAGGACGAGCTGTCCCGGAGCGCGGTGAGCCGGGCGCACCGGCAGGCGCGGAGCCAGCACGGGCGAGCTCCGTGCGCCCCAGCCCCTCCCTTTCTTCCCCCTCTTCCCCGCACTGTAGCGCGGGCTTTTCCAAATTTCCTAACCGCCCAATGAGCGGCTGCGGCTTCTCCCATCAGCCAATCACAGGCGGGCCCAGGCCGCGCTCCCCGGGCCGGCGGTGCTGGAGGAGCTCCTGGCCCGCTCCGCCCCCGCGCAGCCCCGGGGCCGAACCCCCCCACACCCCGCGCTCCGGGACAGCTGCCCGGCCGAGCTCCCGCCGCTCCGGCTGCGCCGCCGCCAGCTCGGCAGGATGCGGAACAGGAACGCTGGTGCCTCCCCCCGCCTCCCGCCCCGCCGATTTCCTTCTCGAAAAAGCAGGTCGGTCGAGTCACGCAGAAATCAGGACCTGCCCCACGGCAGCGCTGGCAAGCGGAAAGGTCGTTGCCAAGAAAGCGGAGGAGTGGTGCTGACAGTTCCCTGCTACGGTCACCAAGAGGTGTGGCAGCTGCATCCATGCTATTAGGAATCGCGCTGATAAGAGCAATGAGAGAAACCTCCACGCCCCAGAAAGGTACCCGCCTTTAAGCAGTCCCTTTAACACACACACCCACTTGCGGTGCTCAAAAAAAAAAAAAAAAAAAAAAAAAAAAAAAGCAGGCAGCCTTTAGAAAGCGTTTTCGCAGGGAATGTAGACTTTTATTTTTTCCAAGTCTTAGCGTAACCACGGCCGGAAGTTTAGCGTCCCATCCACTCCCCAGACAAATGTCCCACACGGATAGTGACGTGTGGACAGCTCTGCTGCAGGCACGGAGCTCAGTGACGGAGTGTATCAGCCCTTTTGGGGACAATAGTAGGTGGCTCTTAAAAGAGCCGTTGGGTTTAAGTATTTCCACTTCAGCACTTCATTTCTTGGGCGCTGCCTTCTTCGCCTTAGCTGTTTTCGGCTTGGCCGTCTTCGGCTTTGCTGCTTTCGGCTTCACCGCTTTTGCCTTTGCCGGGCTCTTTGCTGCCGCCGCCGCTTTTTTGGGCTTGGCAGCCTTCGTCGCCTTTTTGGGGCTCTTGGCTGCTTTCTTGGCCGCGCTGGCCGCCGGCTTCTTGGCTTTTTTGGGGCTCTTCTTCACCGCCGCCGCCTTTTTGGGCTTCTTGGCGGCGCTGGCGGGCTTCTTAGCCGCCGGCTTCTTGGGCTTGGCTGCGGCTGTTTTCTTCTTAGGAGCCTTTTCCTTCACTTCTCCAGGTTTCTTGCTGAGACGAAAAGAGCCGGAGGCGCCGGTGCCCTTGGTCTGCACCAGGGTGCCTTTGCTGACGAGGCTCTTGAGCCCCAGCTTGATGCGGCTGTTGTTCTTCTCCACATCGTAGCCGCCGGCGGCCAGCGCCTTCTTGAGCGCGGCGAGGGAGAGCCCCTTGCGCTCCTTGGAGGCGGACACGGCCTTGGTGATGAGCTCGGTGACGCTGGGCCCCGCGGGCTTGCGGGCTTTGGAAGCGCCCGCCGCTTTCTTCGGCTTCTTGGCGGCGGCCTTGGCGGCGGGGGCCGCGACAGCGGGAGCGGCGGCGGGAGCGGTCTCCGACATCGCTGCAGAGACTTCTTCCTAATCAAAAGAAAGTAATTGGGCTACAGTAACCCCGATGCCTGAATTTATAGCGAAGCGGTGATCTGTGATTGGTGCTTTGCAGAGCCCGCCTAACTGTTAGCCAGGAAGAGCTTTTCCTCCTCCGAGTCTGTGTTTCTTCGGAGTTATAAATTCATATTTTTTCTAAAACGAGTGCTGTAAAATTACCCCAGTTTCTTCGGAGAGTGAAGAGAAGACAATGGACTTTCATTCGGGAGAGTTTCTTGCTATTTGAACCACAGATGAAAGAGAAAAGCTGTTTTTAACCCCGCGTTGTGAAGCCAGAAAGACCCCGGGAACGGCAAACTTTTGTTTTTCCTTCTAAATTAAAATAAAACGCGTAGATAAAAAGTCTCCCCACTAATGCAGCCTTACTCTTTGGGGGGTTTTCTCCAGTTTAGGACAGAAACCGAGTGGACAGCTTGAGTATTTTTGTCGTAAATTGATTTCAAAGAGAAGGAAGTAACACAATTTCATGGCTGAGCTTTGAATATGGATAAAGATTCGGCTCTCTTAACCATATCTTTAACTATTAAGCATACCGTATTTCAACATAATTTCTTGTTTTGGGAAAGTAAGAGACCTTCAGAGGAATATATATATTGTTGAAAATTGTTTGGAACTTGCCAGGGCTCTGCTTTTATGAGTGTGTTGTTCTATAAGTGGATAGAATGATTTTGATATTTTTACAAATACTCTGTTTGTAAAATGAAGCTGTTAATGCCTAGTTAAGTGAATTCCAAATAAACTATTACTTTAATGCTTTCTCAGTTAGAATAGTATATGCTATTCTTCAAGATTTATAAACTTCTGAAGCAGGTTTGTAGGGGAAAAATGTGTCACAGGTAAAGATACACTAATATGTATCATATGCTGCTTAAACATTATTAGAGCCTGCTGAAGCCCCGGTTCTTACGAAACAAATTAAATACTGTGAAAATCTCGCCTGTATGAATAGAATGCTTCACCCTTAATATTACCTATAAATATTTGGACATCGAGTGTTATGGTTTTGGTGTTGGTTTGTTTAGTGGTGGTGGTGGTGTTTCGCATAGGTTTCATATTCCTCCCATTCTTTTCTTTAAAGGAAAAGAAAAACACTTGACAATTTAGGGTTTCATCCAAATCTTCAGAATACTGAAATAATTTTAAGACATCCTCATAAATCAGAATCAGTTTTAATTATTGTAATTCTACTAAAATACTAAGTCTCAGAAAGTGACAATGGAAATTGTTTAAATTTTTTAAAGACTGCCATGAGTTGTTTGGGCTAATTTTTTATTAAATCAGAACATAAAAGCCCCGATTGGTTTCTAATTAAAAAGCAGCCAGATTTTTTTCCCTTGGTTGCAAAAAACAAGTTAAGATCAAACTTAATGTTTTACCCCATTGTACTTTGTAAAAATTCGTCATGCAAACTGTCAGTGGCTGTTTCAGCAAAGGAACAAGTATGACTTTGAGATTCAAGATGGCATCAGATACATCTTAAAAGGTGCTGGTGTGCATTTCGATATATTGAATGCTAAAGATACAATGAAGTTATACTTGACAACAAGAAGTTTAGTGAAAGAAGATGGATTAAAATGATAATGATACATGAGATACATTAGAATTACAAGTGAAACAATGAACCATCACTTTTTCATGTTCTCTTTTATTTCCATTTTCATTTTGTTGTGTTTGCATGTAGGCCAGATGATAAATACTCTGAAGGAGAGGAATGGAAAAGTGGAGATTGGGAAAAATTAAGCTTGTCAGTACTCCACGGTAAAAAACAGACTGAAAAGCATATTGAAGTGGGCTGTGAAATCTGCCACGCTTCTTGTGAACATGACATCGTTCCCACATAAACAACTAGACCAAATCCACAGTAGCCATAGATTTTGAAAGCTCAGGGTGGCAACCCAGATTACCAGTATGTATATGTTTGAGAGATAAAAAAGTAGTTGGCTGTGGTGGGATGAGGGCATTATGCTTACTTTTCGGTTTGGATAAGCAAAGACAGCCATAAAGCAAAATCTGACTGTAAATGATACAAAAGAGAGAACCTGGAAGTGTCATCTATCCAAGTCTGTTAAACGTCATGTACGTTCTTCTGAGGATAGGGACAGCATGAAGGCTAATGTGCCTTAATCTCTGTAGCTTTAACAGTTTGGTGTTAGAACTCTGTAACTCCGCTTTGTTACACTTGAAAATGATCAGGAAGTTGGGAGCAACTGGGAGTGGACAATAACCACTGGTGCAAGAATGCAGCTGTAGCCTGAGGGGTGCGTCCTCTTTACACATCCCTCACATTCACATATTTGGGAAAGTTTCCCTTCAGGCTTCTTTTTAGTAAACCTATTCTCAGTTCATCAAGAGAGGAGAGGTTTCCTCCCCTTCCCCCATAAGCAGGATGCAGGTTAGAGATAAAGACGGGAGGTAGGACGGGAGAAGAGATCTCAGATCTTGCTCCCTAAGTAGCGCAATCACTAGAACTCCACCCGCAGCACACAAGGATTGTTGTCCCTACTCTGGCAAGTTTTAAAGGGACAAGGACGTCTCTGGTTAATTTTGGGGGGGTTTCATTTGCTTTGTTTTGTTTTCTTTCTGTAAGTAAAGCATTTGATGAAGGTTGTGAAGGTCGTTATCTAAGAATTTCAAAGGTCAGAATTTAGAGCTTCTCTCACTTTTAGTTCTGGCTTCATCCCTGTAAGTTTTCACATCTCCTGCTTCCTATTTTGAGTTAAACTTCTAAAGTCCTTTGCTTTTCCCAAGTACTCTGGGACACTGGAAGTCTTGGCAGCTGGCCTCCGGCATTATGTGTCAGCATCCTTTATTGTATCTTTTCCTTACCCATCAAGCTGGTTCTCTTCTGCACGGAGAATTCTCCCTGGCCTACTTCTGAGTAGAGAAAATGTTCTTGATTTTACCATCCATTTCTGCAGAAGGTGATCTTTTTATTTTTAAAGAGAGAGGCTTTAGAGATATGAGGTGGTGTGAAAAGTGGAGGCTTTTTCAGGGTTATTCCCACGCCCCAGGACAAGCAATGACATTTTCTAGTTAATTAGATAAAACAAACTTATCAGGAGCTTTGAATAATTTTCAAGTTTGCATTGCTGGAAATAGCTGTTAAATGCAATACTGGACTACAACGGCAGTTCTCCTATTTTAGAGACTGATCATTGAAGATGGTGATATTGCCATGGGTGCCAGATTAAAAAAAAAAAAAAGAAAAAAAAAAAAGAAAAAAAAAGACAAATCAAACAAACATTCGAGCACATAACTTATCAGATTGTGGAACAGATTTTCAACCAGACAGAGAAGTTTTCTTCCTGTCAAACAAAATTACTTGAGAATAAAGTTTAAAAAAGTTTGGGGAGTGGGCTGGTAATAAAAAGTGTTTGCAGTTTCCACGTGAAGAGATAAATATTTAAGTGTGACTCATTTAATACCTATATTCAATTAAACAGCAAACATTTTTCAGTATTCTCCCTGATTTCCTTTCCAAGCACCCTGTACAAATGTAGTCTCTGTTTATCTCTTACTTAGGAACTCAAACCACTTTTTTATCACCTCTTTAAAAGTGCATCCAGAACATAGCATCATTTCCATGCACCATCACACAACACGCCCTGACTTCCTTGCCTACCTGTGTAGGTGCTAGTGCAGATTACAGAAGAGCTTACAAAATGACAGAGTATTTTCCAATGCAAGGATCTTCAAAACAAAAATAGTTCACATATCATACCAGAAGTAATTCCTAAACCAGTATGGTAGAGAAAATACTTTACTTTTTTTTTTTCTTTTCAAGACAGAAGCTTCATATGGAGGAAAAACAGATTACACATTAGAAAATAAGGGCAAATAAGACATCCAGACTGCAGGAGGAGAGCAATCCAGATAAGCTGATTAGCCAAATTTAGCTGAAAGCCTTTCCTCAATTATAATGGCTGTTAGTTAGGATGGTGAAGATACAGAGAAATTACCAACTTTTAACTGTAGCATGCTATTCTCTTCACAAATAATAATTTTGCAGACATTCAAGTAATCACCCAGTATTTATAGTAAGAACACCATAACAAGATTAAAAGACATTCATCAGGTCTAGTGTGATGGAACTATATTGATGATACTGATTCAGCAATTGCAAAGTTTTTGTAGTAGGGAAGATTCAAGGTGTCAAAGAGTTGCCAATAGTAAAGAAGCCTGTATCTTTTTAGTTCTACTTCAACTAAGCTAACAAAAATATACTGACAGTTATTTCAGTGTTAGGGCAATCACATCTTCTAAAAAAAAAGTGTCTTGTCTTCCAAACTAACCCCTAATGCAATAGGTTCTATCCCCATGATCAAAGAAGGATCATCTAAAAGAGGGAGACACTAAAATGTCTGTGTGGAGCATGTTCTAAAAAATTATTTCTTATGTTTAAGTAGAATTTCCCGTGTTTCAGTTTGTACCAATTGCCTCTTGTCCTGGGCAGTACTGAGAAGGTTGGACCTGTCTCCTCTATTCCCCCCATAAGGTGTATCTAAACACAGTGATGACACATTCCTCATGTGAGAGATGATTCATTCCCTTCATCATCTTTCTGCCCCTTCACTGGTCTCACTCCAGTTATGTTCATGTTTCTGTTGCACTGTGAAGGCCAGAACTGGATACAACATTTCAGATGTTTCTCACCAGTGTCGAGTGGAGGGATAGAATTATTTCCCTCAACACTCTTCTGCACAGAGTACTTCTCCAGGTTAATTTGTGAAGTCTATTAGATCAACCCTGTATGGCACTCCCATGTCTTTTTAAATGTTGGTAGGTAAATAAAGACAGCTTCAAAAAACTCTGTAACCCCTCACACAGTCCTTAGTTTCAAGGCTTGTCAAGACCAGTGTGAGCTACCCTGATTTGGTTTACTTATCGTGCTGTATATGACTGAAAGATATGTTAAGGCTAATGAGAGTCTCAGCAAAACTTAAATTTCTACACTCTGCAGTGATCAAAAGGTGACTGATCAAAGATGTGACTCTCCTTTCTGCCATAACTGTTAAATATGTGCTAATGGGCAAAAAGGGTGGTGCATTTTAATGAGTCATCCCCCAAATCTCCTTGTCTGCCCATAAAATGACAGCCTAAATCATCAAAACATTTATTCCAGTTTCTGAAAGCCTTATAACAAAATTTTACTTCTCTTCACCCATTCCTGTGACTAAGAATCATCATTATTACAAAGTAGTGTTGCTGCACTTAGGAATCTTGGTTATGAACAGGATTCTGTGTTACTTTGTTCTGTAGACCAATTACCTTTGTATTGTTTTCGGTTGGAGATAAAGGGGAGAAAGATAAGTGCAGAAAGACA